TACATTTACAGTCCAGCAACGTGCAAACGAAATCTTTTATTTATTGTTTTCAGAGGATGTTGACTTTTTAACTTGAAGTGGAGGCCTTCAGTTCTTTAGGCTGGGACCTTTTTAATGTAAGAGATAAAAGGGTTATTCGACTCTGTTTGCACTTTTAAAATGTATTGTATTCTGAGGTTTTTGTTTTCTCTAATCTGAAATAAAGGCCTCAATTTTTTATTTTATTTTATTTTATTTTATTGCCTGGGTCTAGTTATATATATGGTAAAAGAGCTCACTGTGCACTCAGTTAAACATATCCTGCACTGAAAATTGACAATAAGTATTGTTGAAACCATGAAAATGTGGCCATAGGGGAAGGCTATTAGACACAAACTGGACTTCGGTTCAGACCTTTTACTTAGAGGAAATTTTAATAACTGGACCTCAGTGACTTTTAATTGAATTCCCCTGGTCTATACCTTACTTTGTTAAGTGCTATGTGATGACATATGTTGTAAACTGCGCTATACGAATAAAATTGAATTGAATTGAATTGAATTGAATTGAATTGAACTGAATAGGGTCCAGGTTAAAACAGGATGGCTGATGAGGGAAAAAAGTCTTTATTGGGAACTTTTGTTCGAAAAGTTTTTATGTTTCACATGTTTTTATGTTGTGAATCATGATTTTCAATGATTGCAAAACATGATGTTATCATACCTCCTGCCATAAACATGTCCTCAGCTTTTGTATGATATAAATCTAGAATGCTTCCTTTCCCACGTTGTCAAGGAAGATGTGAGCTACTATTGTGTGTGCATTATTTTTTGGCATTTGCACAAAGTATTCTCTTTTTTTTTTTAAATCAGTATAAGGCCTTGTTTTTTGTAAAACTTTATTGACTTTAACTTGTATGGATGGATTATATTAAAGCCATTAGTCTACATGAACTTTGCTATTTTTAAATGATTATGTTTTAATTGTGGATGTAACGTACTTAGATCTTTGTGTTGGATCTTTTGGTGCTTTGACAGACAAAGTTTTTAATCTGACACACTTGACTCCAAGACTTCCTGGTGTGAATTACTGTTCTTCTCTGTAACTCCTCCTTTTAAACACAGTTTACTACCAGCTGTACTAATAATAATATCAAATGGCTTTTCTAAGATCAAACCACCCACATGACAGCTGTGACTGGTCACATGTAGAATATTTCTGTCATATCAATATCTTGACTTTCTAAATACAGATAGGTGTAGAAGTGCAGCCTTTGTTTGATATTTACAATAATATGGATGTTTTCTATCAGTGCATTCACCATGCTTCTCTAACCTCTTACTTCCACAGGAACAATGGCATAGATTACATGGAGCTGCGTTTGTGGATCGGCATCCACTCCTGCCTGCAGTGTTTCATCCTCGTCGCTACGGATGCCAGTTACATCATCAAATACATGACGCGTTTCACCGAGGAGGGCTTCTCCAGCCTCATCTCCTTCATTTTCATCTCCGACGCCATCAAAAAGATGGTGGGCTCCTTCAAATATTACCCCATCAACACCGACTTCAAACCTGACTACGTGACCACCTATAAGTGCGAGTGCCTGGCTCCAGACCCGAGTGAGTTCACCCCTTGGCCCAGGGAGATACAGGGGGATTATACGATCGGAACTAGCGTGGCAACTAGTGCTCCTTTTGGGACTTATTAGCTCAGCAGCACAAGCAGATTGTAGAAGAGAGCAGACCCACTTGTTGTCAGTTTACCTCACCCTTTATTTAGGAACACTGTAGAAGTTTATCCTTCATATTTTACCCTGTATTCATGACCTCACCACCTAATTTTTTACAAATTTAAATTCAACTTTCAATTAAGTAATAAATGAATTTCTGTTCCTGTCAGCCATTTTACAAAGTATGCTGTATCTTACTGGACTGATCACCATGCCCCCGGTTTAGAATTCCAGGCCACTGTCGATCAAACGTGAACAAACATCACCCACACACCAGATTATTCTAGACATTAGAGTTTTTAAGAGTTAAACTCTTAACAATAACATTTTGTCATCTTCCCAAATATGCAAGAGGCACACGATAACTACGTTAGAAGGGCAATAATGTGCATGTTTGGCAGGAGTGTGTATGTGTGGATGAGTGACCTATGTATGGAACAGTGGAGATGTACAGTAACAGCGACTATGTGTTTGTTGGTGCCCACAGCTGTGCATGTGCTATGAATACTATCTCACCTTCTCTGTGATTGGATAAATACCAAATATATATTTCAGGTAATTAATTTACGGTGTCAGTATTACACAGTTTGTCTACCAGGGAGGACTGACAAATTGATTTTCCACCTATAAAAGCTCAGTGCATATTATTTTCTAGCCCAGTGTTAAGTATCAAACTGTACTCCATCTACTCTATCAAATGTCTGCAGCCTGTACCAGCTGGCCTGTTTGTCTTTAGATGATAAAACTGGGACTCTGCTTTGTGGCGTTTATGGTTTTAAAGAAATTCAAAATTACATCAAATTACATCATTGTACAAGTTCCCACATGCTCACTAATCTGTTTCTGAAAATGGCAGAAATTTGCGGTAATTCATGTAAACAATGATTTCTGTAACTGATTTGCCTCGTTTGCTTTCACCATGCACAAACAATGTGGCTGCCGTCTCTTACAAGTGAGTATTTTTCTGTTTATCTGCATGTCAGTGTTTGCGAGTCAGCGTGCTCTCTCCAAAGCCCAGCAGCCAGATTCTCATTATGTTTTGCATTTCTTTTGTCTTCCTTTTTTTTGTCCTCTTCATTTTCTGTCTCCTTACCTTCCTGTCCTTCACTGTCTCTCCCCCATTCACACACAGTGGCTGCAATGATCTTCAATGGGTTAGTTCCTATGCCAGATAACAGCTCGACTGTCTCTGGGGTAAGTGCTTGTTTTCATTCAATTTCCATTTTTCTTTTTTCTTTTTTTTTCTTCTCTATTTTGGTGCATTGTATTTCTAGCTGAATGTTTACCAGGCAGGTGACGTTTCAACTGTACAATGAATTGCAACAGTTGTTTTGAAGCCCACATGACAAAGCAAAATAAGCAAAATGGTTTGTTTACAGCTAACCAGGTATGAGCTCTGTCTGACAAACGGGTCGCCTTGCTCTCCTCGTTCTCTCCTTTGTTCACGTCTCATCATCTCTCCCATTAACCTCTCACTCCCCTGCGTGGATAACAACTTCACATGCGTGCTGACAATTTTCACTTTGTCCGTGTCTTTGTCAAAACACTTCACTCTTCTTCATCCTCTCCTGTCTCCCCGCCACTGCCACCACCATCCCAGTTGAATGTGACAGCTCTGGACTGGAGCCAGCTGAGCAAGAAGGAGTGTCTGAAGTACGGAGGCTCTCTGGTGGGAAAGTCCTGCAAGTTCGTCCCAGATCTGGCCCTCATGTCCTTCATCCTGTTCTTCGGCACCTACTCCATGACTGTCTCGCTCAAGAAGTTCAAGTTCAGCCGCTACTTCCCCACCAAGGTGACAGAATCTATCTGTGCATAGAAACAAAACAAATACTGCCAAATAAGTCAAAATCCAATTAAAATCAAACAAACCTTGAGAAGTTTTCTGGTAAGCAAACAAAGATTGTGTTTACATTCATTTTTTTCTTACCTAATTAAACAACTTGTTCTATGGCACTTATCCAGGTTGTTTTCTCCCGACTAGATCCTTGCTTGTGTTGTATCTACTCTCAGATGAATAAAAGCATCTGCTAAATGAAATTGTAGAATTGTAGGCTTCATGCAGACAAGTTTTCATATTCTCATCCTAAATCCCTACTTTTTTAATGAAACCTTTGTTCCGTAGCACTTGCAGTGATCAGAAACTCCACAGGATACCTTGTAGAAGCCAACAACATAATAATTGCCAATAACCCAATAACCCAGTAATATATTTTGGCCAATAACCCATAATAATTATGTTATTGGCCAAAAGATATTACTTTATCATTTCAGGACTTTCATTACGTTATTGGACAGTTATTACATTATTGGCCTATTACATTTTAAAAATGAGAAATTCATTACATTATTGGCCATTGTTATGTTAAATCACACCTTTAAGATGATTTTAAATACAAGTAATCGACACCTGGAATACTGCAAATGTACATAATAATTGCAACAGTGGTATGATTTGCAGAAAAAAGAATTTAACCCTCTGACACCCTAAACTCACTTTAGAAAGAAAAAAAAATCTCTGAAATTGCTTAACAAATACTGCAAAAACAGAAAGCATCGTCAGATTTTCAGTGGCCTGTTGGGCCTTTAACTAATGGGAAAATTATCCAAATACATGTTTGGATACACCCCAAATTTGTTTAAAAAAAAAAAAAAAAAAAAGTTCGTCAAAAATGTACCATTCCCATCATCCATCCATCCATCCATTATCTATATCTTAATAATCCTCACTAGGGTCGCGGGGGGCTAGAAAGATCCCGGGTGTCTTCACCAGGACGCGAACCAGGGACCTTCTTTCTGCGATGCAATGGTGCTAACCACCGAGCCACCTTGCAGCCCCAAGTCCCATCAGATCTAGTAAAATAAATAAATAAAACCTGCACTTCTCAACACAACTGAGAAGCCTTGAGGCATGACAGAACTTTAGAGACCACTTGGTTGAACTGCAGGCTGTTTACGGAGAGTGGAAAGGACACAACAAGAAAGAGTGAGAGGAAAATAAAATGTATTTGATCAATAAAATAAATGCATGACTCAAAAATGGTACACAGAGGAGAAGGTGTTTAAGGATACATTCAGCATGGTCACATATCTTTCTAGAGTTGATGTGTGGAGTCGTGTGAAAAAAATTACGTTTATAGAGGTTGTAAAAATATAAATAGTAAAATATCTACAGCATGTGGTGCCATTTTTTATTTACTTTTTATTTATAGTATTGGTAACACCTGTGGACACTTGGAAAAGCATGTACACGTATTTTCTTTTCTGATTTTCTGCTAAAATAAATAATTAAAGAAGTCCCACTCATTTTAATGATTTAAGGCATTATAACCTTGTTTTACTGCACATAATACATATTTGAGTTCTGTGCATGCCTGGACATGGTTGTGCTCTTTCAATAGAGGCACAGGCTGTTATATTGCAGTAAAAAATGAGTTGACAGTGACTAAAAATGTGATGAATGAAACACCAAGAAACTGCCTGGGTTTCAGAGGGTAAAGTATTCTGGAAACCTATCAACAAAATAATAATGTTCACTGAACCAATTTTCACCAGAAAGTGCAGCGGTTTCTCAGGCAGACGGCCTGCTTACTCTCACTTTTTGTACTTCATAGCAGCACAGTGACCCGTTGTTGATTGTTGTCGGGTCAGTCCCCACACAGCGCTGCTGCACGTCTGTCTCATGTCTCATTTATAACAGGAAGAGGGAAGTCAAACAGACAACAAACAGCTGACCCCTTCGTTTTCCAAACACAAGTATTATCTTTGGCTCAAGTGAAGCTTGCAATGGCTCCACTGTTTCAATATTTATCAGTTGCTTCCCATTAGACCTCATCTCTGTTTTCAGTTCTGCGAAGAAATGTTTATTTTTCTCATTTGTACTGTTTTATGTCTCTTTCTCTGGCAACAGCTGAGGAAACTCATCAGTGACTTCTCCATCTTCATGTCTATCATGACGTTTGTTGGACTTGATATGCTGATGGGACTCAAAACCCCCAAGCTGATTGTTCCCACTGAATTTAAGGTAATACAAGTTATTTTCAAAGGACATTTATGTAGAAGTAAGACAGCTATTACAAAACAGTTTTAAAAATTAGCTGCTTTCAAATGAATCAGGCATTTTAAGTGTGGATGCCTGGTCTCCCACACTAGATCATAGGTTTAACAAACTTTAGTTCTTTTCAGATATGGGTGATGTATTATTACTGCTTCATCAGTCTGTCAAAGTGATTGACATTCTGTCATTCAGACATAAATCACTTGTATGTTTACATACCTCCTGGTTTCATTCAGAAATACCCACCACAGGAAAGTAGAGAACATCAGTGCATGTGCAAGATTTGACAGTACATCAAGTGAGGAACAAGGCATTATAATGCAATAACAATGAAAAGACTAATAGCAGCTTATCAAGATGTTTAAATAACTAACAGTCTGGGGTGTTTTTTAAAAACAAAATTTTTTTTTCCATATGTGATGATGATCTAATTCCTACATTACCAACAGTAAAAGAAAAGTGTGACTCACTGTTAGATCCTTATTGATCCTCTCCCATCTCAGATAATTTATGATTAAACTAATGAAAATACTGATGCTGCTTGGTGCATGAATGCGCACAGTTCATCTATTTTGAAGACACTCATGTGGTTCTGCTGCTGTTTAATGCTGCAATTATTTAATAAACTCAGAGTAAAGGCTCCTAAAAACAGCTTGAAGCAACAAACTAAACTGCGACTCTGACTGTGACAGTCTGATGTGAAGAAAAGTGCACAGTGTGACCATCTGTTAGATCCGGATCATTTATAATTACGAGCAATTAATCAAGTTACAGGCGCTGCAGTTCCACGTGTGTAAATGCACACAGCTCTCCTGCTTTGAAGACGCTCATGTGGATTCGGTGTTGCAGGTTTTTGATAAACTCAGAGGAAAGTGTAATGATTTTTAGGAAAAAGCCTTCATTCAGTCACTTGAAACAACTTTACGTGCCATGCCTTTCTCTAACTATCCATTCATGTGACTGGAAGTATTGAACAATTCTATTGTGTTGATTAAAAATGTCTTATAATCATCAAATTTGTGGAAATGAATCTGTCTTTTCTCGCCAGCCAACTCGGCCGGACCGTGGCTGGCTGGTGATGCCTTTTGGTAAGAACCCGTGGTGGGTGTATGTGGCCAGCTTTGTTCCTGCTCTCCTCGTCACTATCCTCATCTTCATGGACCAGCAGATCAGCGCTGTCATTGTTAACCGCAAGGAGAACAAACTTAAGGTAGTTATGCTATTCTTTTATGCTGCTTACTAGTAAAGAAATAAAAATAATTTTAAAATGGAATTAAGTTACATTATTTATTTAACTTCTCTTTTACCATATTTATTGATGACACTGATTGTTACAAAATGATATTATTTCATGTTGCCACTATTTTTCACTTAGTTTAATCAATTTGTCAATCAAAGTTATTTCTTTAAGAATTGAACATCAAAGCTAGAATAATGTTCAGAAGATGGCAACAAGAGCTGAGAAGCCTATAATACCCGCCTTGTTATCGTTTTTATAAAAACGATCTGTGTGGTTTCCCTGGCAGAAAGGCTGTGGCTACCACCTGGATCTGTTCTGGGTGGGTGTCCTGATGGCTGCCTGCTCCTTCATGGGCCTGCCCTGGTACGTCGCTGCCACCGTCATCTCCATTGCCCACATCGACTCTCTCAAGATGGAGAGCGAGTCCAGCGCTCCAGGAGAACAGCCACAGTTCCTCGGGGTCAGGTTAGTCCACAGTGGAAATAATACAGAGAGCACAGAAATAAAAAGAAAAGAGAATTGTCAGCTCTGGATGTCAGCCCTTCAGGCTGCCACTGGTAATATCACGGTATGAGAGAAACACTTTTCTAAGTCCTTTGTAGTTGAAATAGAGAAGCCTCATGAAATTGACTTGACACTCTCTTGTGTATATTTCATCAATGTCACACATACAGAGAACAAAGAGTGACAGGCATTTTGGTGTTTGCTCTCACTGGAGTCTCCATCTTCCTCGCTCCAATACTTAAGGTATGAAACACATGACAGATGAATCACACGTTTCAATACATGAGCATCACCAGGCTTTGTACAGTGTGCTGTCTGCTGTTGCTTGTGTGTAACGGGGGGCAAAACCATGCCAAGGACTGAAATCAAATCGGAGTTCTCTGCTCACCTTTAATTCATCATATGTTCCCTATGTGTCTTAATCAAATACCCTCAACCACTGATACCAAACGTAGCCATTTAGCCCCTGTAGGCTAGACCTGTAGCAACAGTCGAGTTATGTATTATTGTTATTTATACAGCAGATTTAAAACAACAAACACTGAGCCAAAGCGCTTTCCAGAAGCAAAATAACATCAGCATTACAAATTTGAAGAAACCAGCAGATGCATGAGCCAAACTTTAGTAGTGGCCTGCTTTTATAAAGCAATGTTTCATTTGACACAGGGGGGCCTTGACAGCAGAAAGGTTGAGAAAACTTGATCTACATTTTGTTATATACGCTAGAAAATTAACCAACCCCTTAAAAATTAAGGTGAAGTCCTTACAAATCTACACATGGAAAACACAGACAGCATACTGAACCTCTACTACATTTCACTAATAATTTAATTAAATTACAATACGTTAAATTTCACTAACTTTTTAAAAAATTCTAATAACTGAATGGATCATTTATATCCTTACTTTATAGTTATTTATGTACTTAACATGGATTACACTGGTTCTCTACACTATTTGTAGTGTTAGCAGTCCAATAAGTTAAAGACATTACAATGTTGTCTAATGTTTAAAGTATGAGTGTGGAGTCTTACATGTTGTCTGTCCTGACTGTTGCTCGTAGTTCATCCCCATGCCTGTGCTGTACGGCGTCTTCCTCTACATGGGCGTGGCTTCCCTCAGTGGGATTCAGGTACGATGCCAGCTGTTAATGGTATTTATCATGATAAATTGAGTTGTCATCACTTGGCATCTCACTTAATGCTTTTCTAACAGCAGACAGGAGGCGTCTTATTTAAAGCTGCCAATCCAAGGAAAGAAACAAGTAGTTAAGCAGTTATGTTCTGGAGTGTCCTTACAGACTGCAGAGATTAAAAAACATACACACACACACACACACACACACACACACAGACATTCACTATAAGTGGATTCACTGTCAGTTACAATTTTCTGCAAACTGTGTGGTGAAAATTTACCTGTAGGTTAATTATATAAACTACATGTGTACAGTACATATGTGTCAGTGGATGTTGGTGCCCAGGTGTCTCATTCTATAACCCAAGTTTTGGAATAACAATTTTACACAAGAGCAGATACTCCTCAGTAACTATCCTCCAACTCACTGCACAGACAAGCAGAGCAGTCATGCATACAAATCTCTCCTAGTAAATGTGGGATTAGTCATTCCTACCATAGGTGTCCATGTAATTCATCTGTGCCACTCAGACCTTGGGATTCTTTTCTCTCCCCTCTGCCCTCTTTGTCTTATTGTCCTTCACAGTTCTGGGACAGGATTAAGTTGTACATGATGCCGTCCAAGCACCAACCGGACTACTCTTACCTTCGTCATGTTCCTCTGAGGAGGGTACACCTGTTCACGCTGATCCAGATCATGTGTCTGGCTGTGCTCTGGATCCTCAAATCCACCTTCTTGGCCATCATATTCCCTGTTATGGTATTTAAATACTCACATTTGTAACAAAGATGGTTATGAATCCTTGTTGTATCATTGATGGGAAAATGAGGCATCTGTCTTAAACCCTTTTCACACAAGGTTTTAATCCACATCTTGCTTGATCAGATAATTTGATAGAGCAGATAAATGCATGAAAAAAAGGTTTGAAAATGTTTCAAACATGCCCCAGAGGTGGTCAGAGATACACTTCTGTTTTAACAGTGCTCACATGAAAGAAGTTAAATCAAATATTCATATCAAAATGAAACGCTACTGAATGTAAACGACCATGATAGGGGTTTAATGTCAGTTTTAAAGAGTGTAAATATTAGGAGAGGAAGTGGTTTGATCTCACTGTGCATGTCAGTGATTCATGCTAATGTCATTTCTAAATGCCATCCAGCTAAATCATATGCAGAACATGGCTCAGATACGAGGTGAATGTTAATGGGAGTTTAAACAAGGCCTGTGTGTCTGAAAATCTCTGGTCAAACACCAGATCCTGGGTCTGATGGTGGTCAGGAAGATGCTGGACATGGTCTTCTCCAGACACGACTTGGCCTGGCTGGACGATCTCCTGCCTGAGAAAGAGAAGAAGAAGAAGGACGATGACAAGAAGAAGGGGAAGGGGAAGGAGAAGGAGAAGGATAAGAAGAAGTCCAAAGCAGATGACAGTGAGGAAGAGGTGAGAAACTTGACCTTCTGCTGCCCCCTGCAGGCCTGATGGATTATGACATGAGGATCTGATGGTTAGTGTCTGTGCTGTTTGTGTGTTTGTGTGTTGACTCGCAGGAGAAGTACCACGCCTACTCCAACCACTCACCCAGCTCAGAGTCGGACTTGGATCGCAGGTACTGTGTTCTCAAACTGCACATCCCCTACCAAGACCTCGTCTATCCTGACGTTGCACAGTCTCAGTGGGGAGCGTACTGCCAGCGAGCCGCCGCACACATGTAGAAATGTAACCAAACACAGCAAATGTGCAAGGGTCAGTTCACGCAAATTACAAAAACAACGTTGCTTCTCGTGGCATTTCACCACTGACATAGTTTTATGATTTATCTCAATCAACCTACTCATGTGGTACAAAACAGTGGAATCTAACATACAGTATATTTAGTGACTTTTTAAGTACTGTATTGTATTTAGCCACAATTTTGAAATTCTTGTCCTTTTTAACTCCACTACATGTATTTGACTGCTGTATTTGGTTATTGCTTTGCAGGTTCAGATTATTAACACTAAATGTAGTCAACAAATAAATTCTGATGTGTCATTATAGATTAAGATTTCACTATATAGTAGTTAAAATTAGCTTTAGCATTAAAGTCATGCTTATACATTAAGGTAGCCACAGTTATAACCCAATGATATAATTAATATGGTATATTTGCAGATAGAAGTTTTTTTTTGTTTTTTTTTCTATCTGGACCATCAGAAATACTTCCTGGACTGTTTCTAGGTTTCTCCATGATTGACTAAGCTCCTAGTTGCTGTGGGCTGCTCCTTCTCCCCCACTATCACTGCTCCCCTCTTCAGCTCTGGCAAAGCACTTACTGCTGGACGACATAAAACGCATCGCTGCATACACTAGATTTTAAACTGTGTTATACTGGGAAGTACAGAGACATTTACTTGGCACTTATAGGCTTAATTAGCATTGCGTGAACTCATTTGGCAAGAGCTTGAATGTACCTTACATATGTCAAAGTCCCACACCAGTTTTAACTACATGTAGCTGCTAATGCTGTGGTACTGCTACTACAGTGACACATACTGTTTCTACAGTGTTGCACTGGTACTTTTATAATAGTCCAGTGTGTAGGATTTACTGGGGAAGAAAATTCAGCAAGTCCTCTTGCACAGAAGTCCACCAAGTTGCACCATCATGTATTTACAGTAACCCAAATGGAAAAACCAACACTGACTATTCAGAGGGCCTTTTTCATTT